AGCCACTGCACTCCAGTCTGGGTGACAGAGTAAGATTCCAACTCAAAAAAAAAAAAGAAACACTACAGTGTTTTGTTACACCAATTTTATAAACTTATACAATTCAATACATGTTACTTTTCTGAGGTAAGCCAAAGGTAAATTTCTCAAGGTTTTTGCTGCCTTCTTTAGCAGCATTTGATGGAGGATCTTTTATACATTTGTAATAGATAAAAATAAACCAGATTGCAAATCCTTTTCAAAAATCGTAAATCATGTACCAAGTTTTTGGTTCAAATTGTGTAGGATAAGTTAAAGTTAAATTGCATTCTATTAACCAATATGAGTGTATTTCTGCAAGCATAGTTATGTTGAAATAAAGTTTTAAAAAGCAAAAAAAAAAAAAGTGTAAGCATTATAGCTCATATTTTTTGAAAGCTTGCATACCAGATACTTTTCTATTCATTTTATTCAATAACTTCGTATGATGTAGATACTATTCACATCTTCAATTTACAGATAAGGAAATTAAGCAACAAAGCTGACATCCAAGCGCAGGCAGTCTGATATCAGAGCCTGTTTTCTTTCCAACTGTGCTACATGATAAAATTATACAACTAATTAAAATGAACTTTCACCCTCTGCTTGTGACTAGAATTTATATCATGTATGTTGTTAAAAAGTCACTATATGTTGATGATAAACTCTGATGAAAAGTTATACACTTTAATGAAAAGAGAAAAATTAATTAAAATTACTAAGATCAGCCTGGCAAACAAAATACTTCAAATACAAAGTTGCCATATAAATGATTAATGAAAGTCCTTGGTGGCAAAGTTGCAAATAGTTCCCGTAGACACCTTCACACTCACTGTGTCCTCTATTTTCCTAGCCCTAATGTCAGTTATGAGTTTCTCTAAGAAGTTGATCCCTTCAAAAATGAAGGACATTCATTGGCTTTTTCAACATCAGGAGGATCCCATCTGTTGTCACCACCTCTCTCTCCTCTTCCCTCTCCCTTCTCTCTCTCTTCAGTCTTCATATAGTCAAGCCAACAAACTTTACTAACATCTAGAATACGCTGGGCACTGTAGCTCTCAAGACAAGTCTCAGCCTTAGGCTGGGAAGCACATACTTTGGGCAGGGCTTCCTACAGGAAATTGCACATGAAAATGGGAGAAAACTCATTTGAGGAAAGGAATAAGGGATGGAGTATATTTCAAGGTCCTAAGTGTTGGCAGACCAAAGGATCTCATATGGGCAAAATGATAAGAACATTAAGAGTAAATAATTTTTATGCCCTTTCCAGGAAGATATCTTTATGCTCTAGAAATTATTGGCAATCAAAGTTTATCAAACTTAGTTTTTGAATACTTACATTTAATTCACTTTTTAGCACTTCTTCAAGAAGATGACCTACATGTTCTTTATTTTCCTTTGTGTCCATAACTATACAAATTACTTGTGAAATTCTCTCTGAAATAAAAGAGAAAATTAAAATTTTAATTTCAAACCAAACATAAAACACAGCCCTAGTATGCTGAAGCCTGCACATATCTGCTATTCTAAGCCAAGAATGGGGAGGTTTTGGCTTCGAGTCAAGTGGAATGACCTATACTAAACACTGAGATGTGCTCCACTCTGTTAACCACCCAAGTCAATAAATCCATGCATTAAACACTTTGTGGATAACCAGCCATTGTGCAGTCAACAGAAATAAGATATCTTAGGACATATTTGGCCATAGTAACTAGAGGTGTCAACTATTTGGGGCTGACCGATTCAATCCTTCCATATTTAAAAGGAGTCTCCCATAAGCTAATGGATTCCTCTTTCTCAACCAGATTCATTCATTTTTTTTTTTTTTTTTTTGAGTTGGAGTCTCACTCGGTCGCCCAGACTGGAGTGC